GTTCTTATCTTGAAACTGAAAACTTACACTCATCCAAAATTAGAAGTCAGAAAAAACTAGGACAAGGACACATTTGCGGCTGTGTTGCATCATTTCTTTTGACAACACTCTGCAAAAGTTGGGGACCTCAGGAGACCAGTTCCTGGGGTTTAGGAGTGAAATGTTGCCACAGTCTTGTCTGATTCCGGATTCATGATGCACCAAATCTTTTTGCCGGGTGAGAGGTTGTTGGCACTGCAGGCAGCACCTTCATTATTCTGGGATGAAACATGCATTTGTAACACCAGCAGATTATGGTTTCGCATTTTTCTTCCGCATTTTATAGTGTCATAACTTCTGTCATTTATAATGGTCGTAGTTGTGCACAAACTTGTCAAATGTGGAGCATCATACTCGGCATGCACAGAGGAGCTTCTTGTCCTTGAAGGCCATCGTCTGTTTTGCATCTGACTGCAAACTATCAGTAAATTATTCCTACTTCTACACACTGTTTAAGATCTATGGCTCACACTCATTAGGTAGCTGTTTTGGTACAAATGGGAGAAAAAGTCAGATGAGGGTAGGCCACATGATTAATCAATTTTAAATCATAATCGCATTATTTGATTATGACAATGTTAAAAAATTCTAAATTGTCAAATCAATTTTCCTCTCTGTCATGTTTGGTGCCTCCAGGCCACCGTAGCCCCCCCTCCTATCTGTGGGAGTGCTCCTCAGTTCCCACACACACCAGTGTAAACAAACAAGGTGTTTGCAAAAGAAGGCAAACAAAGTTTTTTGTTGTATCGGCGTCTCGAGTGATTGTAAATGGTACTTTTTGAAAACAGGTCAGAGAGTGCATAAATCCATAAACAGCTACTTTTTCATCTCCTGTGGGTGTCTATCTGCATCTCTGGAAACGATCATGTGACACACAGCGCAACTCTTTTATGGCGCCTGTGTGTGTCCGGCCAAAACAACCTTCATACACATGCTCTGTACTCTTCTTCTGTCTTCTGTGCATTTCCTCGGCAGCGTTACAGCGCCACTTAATGGCTTGGCATATGCACTACATCGTTTTCAGTGGTTTCATTTAGAGAGATGGTAGAAAAACGTTCTATTTTTACTGTGAAGTTTGGCGAAGTTGCAGCTGAATAATAAATCGAAATCGGGAATCAGGTTTTTAGAGAAATTTTATTTTTTATTATTTATTTTTTTTATTTTTATTTTTTTTAGAGATTTTATTTTTGCCCAAAATTGTACAGCCCTAAATGAGAGCTAATCTAAAAGCAAATAAGAGCATCCACACCACGAAAACACACAAAGCCAAACATTGAGGGTATACATTGCTTTCCCGAAAGTATGCTACCTTCATCTTCTGGTGCTAGAAAATCATCTCTGATGCAGCAAACACTTCAGATCAGCACTTATCGGTGACAAGCTTTGTTGCCAGAGTCAGCCGCCTCACACACAGACCCAAAGTACATTTCCCCCTGAAACAGAAATTTGCTATAAAGTGTACTGATACATTTTCTGAGTGTCAATCACAAAACCTGCAATAACTTTTTTTTCCATTTGGGATCTATCTGCTCCCTGTTCAGGTCTGAGAAGTCTTTTGTGCTGATAACAGATTGTTTGCTGTTCCTAACGGTCTATGTGTCAAGGTTACCCAATTATTTCCTCAACACCGGCACGAATATCTAACATAAGTTCAAATGAGATACTAAGAGACTGTCTCAGGAATGACAGCGAAGTGATAGTGTTTTTGTGCATAAATACACTGAAATCTCGACATCTTTTTCGTCCACATTTGTTGCAACTGTCATTTGTAACTGTTTAGTCTGGCTCTGATAAAGATGAGGCGACAGATCAGAAAATACCCTCATCCGTTATTTTGAAGTAAAGGACAAACAGCCTGTTTTGTGGTTTTGTTTGAGGACTTGTTGCTTTGTTTACAGATGGAGGCAGGGGACAGAGATGAGGTGGTGACACTGCCTAAATGAAACAGGCTTTTTTCTCCGTGAATGCATACTCTTCGGTTGGTACCGCAGCCTTCAAACAGAGGAAAGAAATACCTGACAGACACGTGACAACCATCCCTGACAGCAGCATCCAGGCACCCAGGTAAAGCTTGTTTGAAATGTTCTGTTTTTGGTATGCTTTCCAATTATTCAACTAAAAAAAGCCCCTTGAAAGTCACATAATTGGGCTGCAGGGATGGTAGTAATGGTGTTATGAGGCAGGGAAATTCATCAAACAATTCAGAAATTGGACCTTGGAAATGTTTGTCTTTAAAGCATGGGAACTGGGAACAGAGCAGGAGAGGAAAATACGGTTATGTGCTTTTTTAAGCTTGGTGATCAAAGAATATTCTAGCATTGACAGTTTTCTCTCCTGGAAACCAGGGTTTTCAGAGGTTTCATGCCTTTTTATATTTTTGGATGAAGCTCCAGTCTCTTTAAAAAGGGCAGTCGGTCAATCAGTGAGCTGCGATAATTGTACTTTTATTCTGACAAGTCAATGAGCCAACTCAAGAAACCACCTTTAGTGCCAAGATAGCTGATGAATAGAGAGCAAGTCCTGGATGTTCAACCATAAATTTGACTGTTGCAACTATACAAGGGTCCTAGAGATGCAGTCTTGAAACTGCAGCCTCTGTCTTTGTAAATATGATAATAATTGAAAGACTGTTTTATGGGATGGATTTCAAATGCAGCCTTTCTGAACAACAGCATCGATGATGTACTAAGTGTGTGCGGCTGCTAAAGAGTAAACAAAATTAAAGGTCCTGTGGGTGATTTTCTGTCTGATTTTGGGCTCTCTTGTGGACGCCCTTTTGTTGTTGCTGATTTTGCTTTAAGAAAAATGTCCTCCTACTGTCTTTTTTAGGTGTTTCTTCAGTGTCACAGCAGTTACAGTTGGTGGTTTCATTTGCATTTGTGCATCATAGAGACTTATCACTGTTCATTTTAGTCTCTTTTAATAACCTTTGAAAACCCTAGTCCTATACAGACTGTATGTAGGGCTGGGCGATATGGGAAAAGGTTTATCACAGTATTTTTTTTCATATCAGTCGATATCAATTTATATCACGATATAAAAAAATCACATGTCAATCTTAAATGTTCCTTGTTACTCTTCAATGAAATTTAACAGTGCTTACTGGTAGCACATCTTTTGCAATACAATAATCTCCTGTATTTGTGAGGTCTTTGTGTCTCTTCGACGTTTTGTCATAAGGCGTTGCGCTAGAGAAAGCAGACTGAATGCTTTGCTGCTTCTCACTTGCTCCGTGAAAAGATTTGAGGTATTCCCCGACTTTGCGAGAACATGTACTCGACATAATTTAAAGCGCACATAACTCCGCCTCATGTCAACCTCAAAAACCAAAACACCTCCACACCACCGACGTTTTCGTGCCAGTGTTGTCAACGATGTTGTCATCTGTTGAGCCTCCATCTGCATTTCTTCCAGGGGTATCATTTTCTTTTTTTTCCTCACCCACAGTGCTGTTGGCTTCACGTGTTAAAGTGCTATGGTTGCGTGTAGCTGCTGTCTGCTACTCGGTTGTTTGCTACTTGGTTCTAATTCAGCACATGATTGGTTCAGTGCTAAGCTGACCTGGAGCAACTCCCCTTTTTATTGGCTATTCATATAGTCTACAAAAACATGGCAGAATGCTGAGTATTGAAAAGGATATTGACCGTGTTTTATATTGATATTGAAGGAAATTAATTTTCGATTTATATCATTATGGTTTCATTGCACAGCCTTAACTGTATGTTAGGTCAAAGTGTCTTACATGGAATTAATCAACTTTATTGTTACTTGACTCACCATTTTTTTCATGTTTTTATGAGACACCTCTGAAAATCCACATTTTTACAGTTCTAGTAAAATTCTCCCATAGCTGCACACACATGCTCATCAGTTCCTCTTTCTCCTAAAATGACGCCGATTGGTCCAATCATTCTCTGACCTGGAACGAGGCTCTCAGCTCAAAGCTTTGCAAGATCATCAGTTTAGCAAAATTACAGAAAGCCTTCACCGATCTATTAAATCAAGTTTTCAGGATATGACTCTGGGAACATGCATGGGAAGACATCTAACAGATAACACCTGCAAAGTCAGTCCGTTGGCTGCAAAACTTCACACAGCGACTGAATTTGTGAGGATAATTTTCGGCAGAAATTTGCTGTAGGCGTTTTTTGATTAATTTTCTTCAGTCGAGTCTTTTAAATGGAAATTGGGCTTACTTTGCTGCAGTGCTTAAAGTAGAAAAAAATAAGAGCTGGTACTCCTCTGATTCGCTTCTTGGTGTGTGTATCTTGCAGTGAGTGTTAGTAAATCTTTTGTGTTTGGTTTCATAACTGTGGAGCATCTCTGCATCACCGTGCTCATATTTAATTTTCTATGAGGAGTACATACAGCAGCTTCAGTAACCTATGCTGTCATCCAGCTCTGGTTCAGTTCCTGTTCTCCTCTTGCTCTTTTCCAGCCACACCAGCTCTGCAGTCATTTCACTCATTCAAATACATACATTGATTTGACAATACTGGTGAAACAAGACAAGTGGGTGTGGAAAGCATGTTAGTGTCATGTAGTGTGCCGTGGGTAATGAGTAATTTAGGAGCTGCTAGAGAGAAACTGTAATAGGGAGGAGTCCTGGTGAAGGTGAGCGCAATTAATAATCTGTTAACAAAGACCTTAAAGCTCCTGTGAGGATTTTTTAAACCTTAAAGTAAATAAGACTATGAGCGACAAAATCAAAGATTTTTGTCCTGCAACTTTTAAAACCTAATAAAGATGTGAGGGGGTAGGTGTCAGCTCAGTACAGCCCTGTTTTTACAACTCAAACATAAAATATTCACAATGATAAATTTGACCGTCAAATATCATCAAAAGACATTACTAAAGCAGGTAGAGGATTAGACAAACAAACAAGATACAAACCAGAAGTTCCTCAGAGGAGCTTTAAAACAATTACTCCACCAGTTTCATTATAAACTTATCAGGAGCTAGCATTAACTTTGACATTTAGGCCATTAAAAGATTCAGTCCAAACATATATCGATATCCTCAAACCTACAAAGGCTGAATGCTCTTGCTCAAGTTGTCTTTGATCCATCTTACTATTACAAGCAGGGTTTGCACCCATCTCCATCTCTATTGAACCCAGTTTGCCTTCATTTTTGCACAGGGTGACCATACGTCCTGTTTTACCCAGACATGTCCTCTTTTTTGGGGGGCTGTTTGGCCTTGTCTGGCTTTGTCCAGGGGAGTTTATAAAATCCTTCAAATGTCTGCAGTTTTGTTTGGAAGTTTTAAGTTTGTGTTGCGTGGACTTACTGAGTTAGAAGCGCATAAAAAACACTCAATCCGACCCAGAAAACTCTCATAATCAACAATGCGCGACTCCATGACTCAGCCCCCGCGTAGTTGTGTCCTCTTTTTGGGGATTCAGAATATAGTCATCCTTTTGTTGCACCGATTCCTGCATTGCATGTCAGCCAGTAGCATAACGGACCGTGTTGAATTTAAAAGTGAGAGCTCTGTGTCCTGGAGCAAACTGAAGCCGACCATCCCACTTACAGCTTTACAGTGTGTGAAAACTTTGCTAGTTGGCGTTCAGAAGAGCGTAGAACCCACACTATAACACATGAAAAATAATTAGCTTTTAAGAACCATGTTTTCAATATCAAAGCCTACAGGTGTAAAAATATATGAATATGTATCGTAACACTTTCTGCATCATTTAGAAAGGGCTGTCTGTTTGCAAAACTTCACCGCAATTACCTTCAGCTCAGGTCATTTTCTGAAACAATGAAACCACATCTGTTTGTGAAACCTGAGTCTGACATTTACAAAGAAGTGTGAAACGCGTAGGTAGTACGAGGTGGAGTTGGTGCTTTGTGTTCTGAACAGAGCGCTGACTCTAAGCCATCCATCACTGTAAGGGATTGTTGTGCGCATTGACATTTTATACGCCGTGAAGGGAGCAAAGTGGGCTGCTGTTGCCTGTGATTCATTCGTTGTTGTTGTTGTTCATTGGGATCCTGCAGAGGAGTGGAGGAGCCGGCGCTTTGTTTGAATGTCAGCAGCTGAGATAGAAAGAGACTGCTGTGCCCACTGAGCTATGTACAGTATGCCCCCATGATTATGATGGATTGTCCACTGTGAGTGCGCTTTTATGAATGTTAAGAGCAGCCTTTTATTCTAAGTGCATGTTCTGGAAGTTGGGCTGTCACAACGGATACTGACATGTTGAAAAATTTCAGGCTTATCCATGGAGGAGATGGATGAGGCGACTGAATTTTTTACTTCGAAAAAGTGCAACACAGCTCCGGCGATAATCCTCCAAATTCAAGATTTCAATTTTCAGTCCATCGCCTCTGAGAAATGCCCTTTATAAAACTAGGAATGGGAATTGTGAATAATTTAGTGATTACGATTCCATTGTCGATACTGCTAATCGATTCTCATTGAGTGAGAAATAAGCTAATACAAACTAACCCACCAGAATTCAGAAGCATCTACGGTGGCAAAAGGATGTAACCCTTTGACCACATCTGACTCTGACGGCAAATCCTTCTGCGGCGGAGGACGACACGTGATATCAGCACAAGAAGGCAATTAAACACGATAAAAGTTGAAATGCTCAAAATAAAAATAAATATTCAGCAAACCACCGGGCGTTGATTAACGTTGATGCTCTTTAATCTTCCTGTCTCCGGCCGGTCTCCAGTGGGTTGGGCGTATCCAAAATGGTAAAAGCAAGGGGGGTGTTCTGAGACAGGCTGCTACCTGTGTGCTCTGAAAACACCCCCATCAGCACTTGGTACGTTCCTCCTGATGAAATTAACCATAGACTGTAAATTGACGCAGAAAAAAATCAAGCCGACCGATCAGAATTTTGGTTGACTCAGCAAGTGCCGACTAATAAGTTGACCAGTCGACGAGGACTTTACAGCCTTACTCTTGCAGTCATCGTCATCTAAATGTACTTTAGAGAGATGGAGGGTATTTATATCGCGAAAGGGGGTTAAAATGGTGCTAACATCTACACAACAGACAGGACCTGGAGGAGTTTAACGTTCCCTTCAGCATTTAAAGCAGATGACGCCGAGACCTTAGCTCTGCTGCTGCTTTTACCTGTACCAGTCTCGCCTTCGCTAAGTCGCGTATCAAACACGTTACACTTCCACAAATGAATTGCATGCTGTATCCCCCCCCCCTTCGATGAAATTAAAGCTTTGCAGTTGTTGCAAGTAGCCCGGGTATCATCTTTTCCCGTAAAATACAGCCAAACTCTAGAGTGCTTTTGCCTTGGCGCCATGCTGGAAAGTTCTGAACCAAAACACACTTCTCACGTACGACGTTACCACGCATAGGAGGAACCGTTGAGCAGAATTGTCAAGGAGGCAGACGAACAATTCTTCAGAATCGAATCACTTGGAACCGGTTATCAATTCTCATTCCTATATAAAACTAGAATTTGTGCAGCTTGATTTTTCAAGTAATTACCGCACTAATTGTCTTTGATGATATTTAGGTTTTGGCACCAACAAAAGCAAGTGTATTTGTTATAATGCAGCAGCATTTCCACAACACTGCTGTTCCTTTGTTACTCTTCTATACTCTCATATTTTTGTTCCGCGTTGTTGAGTTTTTCTAAGGATCAACATTTTCCCTGAATATGAAACACTGCAGCACTTGTGCGTGCCTCCGAGGCATGAATGACAGGCTCATTATTGTGCTATTTTGCAGTTGTTAAAGCTTGTTATTTGGCTGAGCCTTTCTCTACAGCAATTCCAGCAAACATTCAAAATGACAAAGTAGATGCATGCGTTGAGTATTTAAGCTGGAACTTAATGGATAACTAGTTCAGCTTCCTTAACAACAGCTTTTATAAAGTGACAGAAGAGCCACTGTTAGTGCAGCTCTGCAGCAGAAACATCTCTTTATATGAAGTGTGCTGGTCTTCAGGAGGCGTGACTTGACTTGTACTTGAGTATTGACTGCATCAGGATTCGGATGATGGATGAGGGACTGAATTATTTATTGATTAAGACTGCTTTTTCTTAGTTTTTATTTTTTTTATCAAGCCCAGATAGTTCATTCAAGTTCAAACAAAAGCTGCACGTGTGTTCACATTTATGCACATTTACCATCTTGTTTAGCCAAAGTTCCTGCAAGTGGTGAGGTGCTGCATCATGTAGAGATGGGAATTACGGCTTTTTTTAATGAGGGCTCCCAGACTGTCAGCTCCCAAACGGCTCTTCATTTTACCACTTATACATTTTCCAATTCAGCCAAATTTAGCGTTGTTTGGCTATGTGTACACATACCTCTTGAACACGTCAATACATCCGTTGTGCTGAAGTATTCACAAGTATAAATTACATTTTCTAATATCATTAATTTGCTTTAGCCACCCTGAGTGCATCCTTCTATTGAGCACAAGCACATGGCGCACTCCGGCCCTCTCTGCTTGGTGTATCCTCGCGTGATTGGTTGCACGCAGCATGCACTTGACAGTCATGCACTGCACGCATGGAGCGCCCATCATCCCGTCATTCTGCCTTATAGTGAGAAGAAAATGAATAATAATAAAAAAAAACACGTCTCCCATCGTTCACGTTTGTTCACGACCGACACATCACTAGAATCATGAGTTGAACTTTCACAGAGTTCGCTGCAGCTCCAGTGACTTCCATAATTCCATGAAGGTTGACTATCTGGATGTAAACAAGCCCAGAATGACATGGGATCACAGAGACTGTAGGTAAATATTGTCCAATCATCTTTTCGCTGACATTACCAGTATTAACACCACCACGTTCCAGTCCTCCTTGGACTTGGTGGAGTTGACCAGACACAGCCAACATATAACTATATACATCCTTAATCAAGGTACTGACAAACAGAACCACAAGCTTGGGCTTTTTTCTTTGGTTTTCTGACCCCAGAGTAGTCAGTAAGTCCAAATTTCAATTTTAATTTTAAAGAACCAGGGAAAAAAGTCCCCTCAGCACATCCCTCATCCTGAGCGCACCCAGTAATGTAAATTTGAAGCCAAAGTTTGCCTTCTTTGGACTGTCATGTTACCATCAAGTAACATGACTCAACTGCTGGGTCCAGGAGGTTTGGTAGGTTCAGGTTCTTATTAATAGCTCATGGGCTGCTGGAGGCCACAGGTAGGAGGTACTTTTGAGCTTCCTCAACATCTTTAGTGATCTCACACAGCGCTGTAACTCCATTTGTGATATCAAATCTTAAGATATGCCAACAGGTTCTGTCAAAATCTGCATCCCTGCAAGGAGTTCTGGAAATTGTGACTTCTGAGAGCAGGATATGATGCTTGAATGTCTTCAATAATGTACATAAAGAGACACAATCACTGCTTAGATGGCAAACTAATAAAGAAACCATCTCTTTTTCTCTTTATGTCTCCATCTTCTCTCTTAAAAATGAACTCTTAAATTCATAAAACCATCTGACAACCAGTAAAATTATAAAATTACAACTTAGCAGTGATGCCAGAGTTCCCGCCCAAACCATTTGGTGCTCTGGCTAACTTTATAGAGACTTTGGCAACATTTCCCAGAGTGAATTCTCCTCTCAGCTTTGTGGAGATGAGAAACAAATTGCTTCTCTCGGCTCAAAAAATGCTTCCTTATCTTGGGAGAAGCTTGCAGGAAAGCAGCGGCTTCAAAAGCCTCCGACGGCGGTTACTTTCAGCCTGCTGACTCAGCCTCAGCAACAGCCGGTGTGTGAAGTTGTAAGGAGTTCCTGTGCATTGATTACAGGAACACGACTCATGTTGGCCGATATTCTCCCTCGAGCTTCCGTGGAGACTGTATTTTCTCTTCCTGTGTAGCCACTTCACAGCTACAATCTCCCGGAAAGCTCAGCGGGAGGTCCACTACAGACGTACCTGTTAATTAACGGTGTCTAAATATACAACAAACAAGAGAGCCAGAGAATCTGGAGAGCTACTCGTAAAGGTTCAAAGTCCTAGTTATCATCTTCATAAAATTAGTTTTGGAAAGTAAACAGTAAATTTGCTTCAGCTTGAGTGAATTGGGAATTTGGAAGTGGAAAGACCTGAAAGTGACCTACAATTGAACAAAGTTAGGGAGGAAGAAGGTTCGTGAAGTTTGAAGGAGAGCTGGGCATAACAACGTTATTGTATCTCTCCTTCATGTTGAGCAACTCCTTCCTTTTATTTCTTCTATTCCTTTATTTCTAAAACAAAGAGCGTCCTTGGAACCACATGCCACCCTTAAAAAAAAACCCAAAAAAACAGTGACTCAGAGCTGAGAGTCATCACGGTACGGAATATATTTACACACCATGAAACATTCGTATAGCCGTTTACTCTGATTTATAAATTTGATGATCATGCAAGAGTGCTGAAAACTTAGGACAAAGGACCTTAAAGACCCGCTCCGATGAAAATCATGTTCATATGGCATTTTTCTGGAGCTACGGGATATATGAGAAAACTAAATGCTAAGTTGCATTTCTAAGTATTTCTGCAACTAAATCACTGTGAATCTCTGGCAGACCCAAACGACAGACTCAGATACTGTGAGATTTCCTATGTCACAATTCCAAGCTCCACCCCCAGAGCCCAGCTATGCAAGCCACAGTCAGATTAGTAGAGAAGACAATTGCAGAACAAGCGTGTGCGCTAGCGGATTGCAGTGCTAGTAAGAAAGCTAATTATGATATTAACTTTCATCATGTCCCCAAAGAATCAAGCTATAAAATATCCAATGCACCATAAAGCATTGCACATTGTAATGTTTGTTATTTAGTGTTTGCTCCCTGTGTGTTTTCTTCAGTTCGGTTAATGTCTCTCTCTTTTGCGCCTTGTGTCATTGAACCTTCTTGTTGTTTCTTTGCTGTTTCAGAATGCCACTGGATACAAAGAAAAAATGTCCACAGTGTCAACAGGTAGAGCTGAATTTTGCTGGACTGCTTTCCACAGACTAATTTTAATTCAAGGTGTTGGATCGGGATGTACCTGGCAACACCTTTATTAAGAAATCGTACACAATTTAATCCAATCTGATCTGTTTTATCAATATAGCTCGATTTAAGCAAACGCAAGGTTTCCAAAGTGGTGCACAACAAGATAAAAATACAGTAAATAACACAATGGAAGCACAATAGATAAGGTAAAAATTAAATAAGATAAAACACAGTAAAATCAAATAAAAACAAATAAAATAAGTAAAATCAACAAAATAAAATAAATGAAGTCAACCTACGACTGGGTGTTAAAAGCCAGTCAGAGCAACCAACCACAGCTAGCACTACATGGTCCTCGTCCGTCCTGGTTAACATTTTAAAGGTCATTTCAAGTTAGATTTTCTTTATCTTCAACTTTGACAGCTTGCTATTGAATTGAAACCAAATACTAGCATTTGACAGTGCAATGCTCGGCTGTTTGAGCGTCTTTCTTGTACAAACTGGCATGCGAAAAATCACAGGGTATGTTTAGCTGAAAAGGGTGTGTTGGATGAAGCCTGTAAAGAAAGACCACAGTGACTGCACATGGAGCAGCTTTACAAATAGTACAACTTTTATCACACTGATGTCGCCCAATCGATCTTGTGAAGTTTGCAGAAATAAACTATCTCTGAATAAATGGACTGACACATCAAATGCAATGAGGATGCAGTCTTTTAGACACTGGGGTTATACGACACCTCTGACCAACACCTGTCATAGCCTGATTGGATTGAAAAGACATTTATAAAGCCAGAATAATTGAAACTCCTCCTTGGCAGAGTCAGGGCGTCTGCATATCTGGCACCGAGGAAACTGTTCTTGCCAATAAACAAAACCCTAATGTTTGGGACACTGCCAGTCTTGTATTCAGCACCTTTTCTGACCCCTTGTTATTTGTTTGTCGTGTCTTGGAGGAACCGGTGCAGTTTAGTTGAAGTCTTCCTTGTGCAGGAAATGTATTTTTATATGGGGGCCAAAATTTTGTGCTCCTTTAACGTCAGGAAAACAGAACCCTGAGCTCAGACGTTATTTCCTGACTGTGCTACACCGCCCTTCAATTTAAAACAGTCACTAATGTATTCCTGTTTCTCACTCGGATAGCTTTTGTCTGCCTTGTTTTAAAGCAAACCTCTGCTCATAGCTATTCATAACCTTTCTGAGTAATTAACCTAAAAATAATTTGAATTAAACTGGCACAGTGGTAATAAAGTGACAGCTACTGACACCTGAAATAGTTGGCAGAAAATTTAATTAAAACTTGTGTTTAATATTCTCAAAACTCCCCGACTTTGTGCTAATCTTGATAGAAGACACAAGAACCTCTGTTATTCCCTCTCATTACAAATCAAATACCATCTCTGTATCAGGCAGCGCATGGGTGCAACTTCTTCTCCACTGACTTATTTCAGTTTCTGGAAAGTTCATTGTATCTCAGCAAACACACAGCACCATAAATCTACAGCTACACGCTCTAATGATGATATATTGGAGATTAGATGGGAGCAGCTTTTTATGATCACATCACACTGATGCTTTTTAATTACTCCGAGCTCCACATTGCAAAAGGTTACATCATCTGAAAATGCGGCAGCACAGCAGAGTTTGGTTCTTGATGCACTCCAGGAATAAAACATGAACTCCAGATTCTGTAAAAAGTTGGAGAGGAGGATATAAACACCAGATTAATCAGCTCCAGTAATCAGGCGGCTACCGCGTAAACATGGAGAATATTGAGTTAGGGTGGTGTTGTCTGATGTGTGTAGAGGTGTGGGGAGTTTAATTTGTTGCAGCCAGATGTCACTTGCATGTAATTTAATCAAGATAAACACAGTGGACCCTCAATAACACCGCACTCTGCTGTGACGCGTCCAATCTGAGGATTTATCCGCTCAGTGACGGTCCTGCTGCCCTCAGATGACTGCAGGGATTGAATCAAGAGTAGGAGAGGCGTTTCACCGTGTTAAGTACTAATAACCTAAAATACAAACGTATGTACCTGTGCTACTTTCTGGAATCAGGATGCAGTTACCTGACAAATCTGTACGTCTCAGAGTATTGTGTTACGGCTAAAAGTGTGTTATATGAGCACTCATCAGCTTCAGCATAAAATAGATCAAACAGGCAGTATGCATGCTCCGAATGAGGCTTCATAATACCTTTAAAAACACATTTTGGTTCAGATATCATACAGTCTGGAGAAACAATGTGAGAATGTGTACAGAGCGTCCTTGAGTGACTAGCAACTGAGGAGTCTCATGAGTTTGCTGCAGTGCTTCCAACTCCTCAGTAAGGAAAGTCACTAGTGGCTGTCGTAAAAGTTGCTAGATGACGTCATCGCCTAATATGCATAATTTCTCAGTCAATCCCACCACTGCCGCCAACCCCCCCCACCCCCGAGAGGGGGAGAAGTCTTCTGCGGGGTATCTGTATGTGTCTGTGTTTTTGATGCACAATGGCTACCCGTTAAGAAGAGTAACATCGATACATGCGTTTATGTTTGTCTCTAAACTCCAGAATAAGTCTCTAGATTTGTCACTAGGCGCTTTTTTGAAAATAAGTCACTAAGTGGGTCTGAAAAGTCGCTTCGTCTAGCAACAAAGTCACTAGGTTGGCAACACGAGTTTGCTGTATTTATTCTGCTGCGTGTTTCTGTATACCGACCATAGACTGTATATACTAAGGACAACTTGGCTCTGCCTTCCGTCATTATACAAAATTGAAGCCGAATTACTGTCAGGATTTTCTTCACTTCCTGGGACCACCACCTGCGCTGTAGCTTTGTACTCAACATCGCAACCAGGGGGGAGAAAAATGTATATTCTGTGTAATTAATATCTAAATTTTGTTCACAACTCCATAGGGATTGCTGGAGGAGGTGGGATTTATGACTTTTACTGCAGCCCGTCACCAGAGGGTGCTGTTCTTACCGTGGCTTTACCCAGCGAAGGGGCAGACGGCGCCCATTCTATATACAGTCTATGATAGTGACGAAGAAAAGCTAGATTTAATGGTAAACATGCATTCAATTTTTACACACCTGAGCCAGCTATCTTGGTGCACGGCCATGTGAAAGTGTGTCAAAGTTTTTATCCTCTTGACAGATGTTTTCTTAAGTTTTACAGTGACCTTAGACTTTGTTTATGTGGGAAGACTGGACAAAAATGCAGGGAAAAAACTTTAATGTAAAAAAATATCCATGTATCTGTGGGCAGGGCTATGGTCTAATATCAAATATCTTCATTCACATAGTATAGTTGTATTTATTTAACCAGTCAAACTGCATACACCAGATGTTAGTTTGCATTGAAGTTTGATTTCAGTCCGACTAATGTGTTTACTTTCACTTCAGAAGTTCAGATTCAGTCAGACTGTTGCAATTAATCGATTTTTTTTAAGTGCATGTCAGCGTACTGATCTTTATAAGTATCAGCTGTGACATGTGCGGCCCTAATACTCTGAAACATGTTGACTCAGGTGAAAACTGTGTGCTACACTGCTGTGACAAAGCAGACATAAACCAATCATGTGTCTGGAGGAGCTTTAGGGTTAATGTACCGGTTTATTTTTTATCTGGTACAGTTCCAGACTTAGTTTAGTGAAGAAGTTTCACTCATTAATTTTACAACCTGCATGAAAGAATGGACCCTGGGACAAATTACCGTGCATTATCTCCACTATGCAAACCCTCATTTACGCAGCCATGTGGGCACCAGCCTGCTCTTCCTATTAAGCGATGATGTAACAGCGCTGTCTTCTTCAGGTGCCTCATAATTAAGATGAGCGATTAACCCTGTTGATGCTTCTCGATCCTCCGGGGCTGAATCAGTGCCATTTCGCTGGCTGCCTCCATCCGCTGCCCTCATTGTCAGTGTGGTCATTTTGCCTCGCCTTGTGGAGCCAGAGAACATAAACACCATTATCAGAGGAGCAGTTGGTGGGAGCATGCTGCTGTCAAACAAACAATGGCCTCTGTGGAATTACCTGCCATGACTCATACATGTCGGGGAGCCGCTATCGTTCTCTTTCTTGCAGTCTGGGAGCCCTCAAGTTTTCGTTGCGTTCATTTAGCCCCTCTAAGTGATTGAGGGGGATCTGACGATTAATTAGGAGCCTTGATGACTGTAATTTGTAATCATTCCTACTATAATTTCTGCTGCAGTGCACAGAGGGAGGCGTATGAGCAGACAGAAAAGGATATTGTTATTTTTGAATGTGTTGTGTGTGATATCTTTATCTCGCCCTAACTTTGATTTGATCATGCACATTGATAATAAGTGGGTTGCTGTTTTGGGATTTAGATTAAAAGTAGGATGATGTTTGCCGGTGTTTGTTTGAGGTAAACAAACTTTGCATCACTGTGTAGTTTTCTCCTAAAAGGGACATTTTAGCATTTTTGAATCCCTGCGGTATGAGTTGTATGACTTCGGTAAGTGTATTAGCCGCAATAGATGCTGACTAGCTTTGCCTCTTTAAGGCATAACTCAACGAAATAACATATTTTTCAGACATAATTGAGTTCGCTTGTCAATCTAACTGTGGCCACACACCAAGCGCGAGTAAAAACATTCACGTGACTGAATTACACGTTAAGTCAATGCAAAGACGCGATTAGATGCTCCTTCTACTCTGTTGGCGCGAATGACAAAAATTAGGCGGGAGCTGAAGATGTCTCAACTTGAACGGATATTTGCGTTAAGATAAACAATCAGCACGAAGTTTGCCGGGTGACATATGAAAACAGACAGTTGTTCACTGGTATCTTATAGGGCCCAACCGATATGGATTTTTTGGGGCTGATGCCGATATCGATTATTAGGGTGGGGGGGGAATCCGATTACCGATCAATTGGCCGATTTTTTAAATTTTTTATGAAGTTATAAGAAATATATATATATTGTGTGGGTGTGTGGGTGCCCAGAATTATATGATACCTTTTCTTTCATTTACCAAAACTGGAATAAAAAAGAG